TGGGGGGGTTGTCTTTTCCAGAAATATTTTTTTTTTTTTTTTTGTGGTACCAGGGATTGAAATCAGGACCATGCCCTTGCCAGACAGACGCTTATTCTACTGAGCTATCTCCCCAGCCCCAGAAATATTTCTCTATATCTATCTATCTATCTATCTATCTATCTATCTATCTATCCCAAAACAGAAACAAGGAAAAGAGATGAATCCTTAGGTGAAAAAAGAAGACTTGAAGTGCAGGTTACCAATGCTGATGCCAAAATGGATTCTAAAGTATTTAAATCTAAGGGTCGACAGTGATGGGGAGAAAGCCTAAAGGGACACTATGTCAGCTGACTTCCTAACAGTGGGACAAGCCATGTCCAGGTAGTGCCTTCAGGTAGCCTCAGAGGCTGCAGTGGCAGCAAGACCAAGCACAGCAGGAACCCCTGTGGGCAACGCCCCCCCACAACTCCCTCCACCTGCACGGCTCCTGGTGGTGATCCTAGGACAGAGCCGTCCCAGGAGGTAGAGTTACAGAGCAGAGGAGAAAACTAAGAAGTACTGCATTGCACTTGTTAAGCCAAATAACACTGTCCACCAGGAATTTATTTATTTATTTACTTTTGCAGTACTGGGGATCAAACTCGGGACCTTGCACTTTCCAGATAGGTGCTTATACCACTGAGCTGTATCCCTAGCACCCCACCAGGAATTTATACTATTACTGTGACCATGCTGGCCTCCAGTGAAAAGACACTCCAGGCAAATAAGAAATGAAGAGAATGCTTCAAGAAGCATGTGTGTTTTCCTGAACTAAGAAGCTACTATCATCTTCCTGACTTGAGAGCCCTAGAAGACGTAGTTTCTAGGCTAATAAAAAAAGAGGACAAAAATCTTTCTGAATCCCAAATAACTTCTTGGCCTGCCGTTGACTGGTGTGCCGCAAGTAGATGCTATACCAGGCATTAGGATCTCCCCATCAGGTGACTTGGAAGTGATCAGTCTCTCTTGGGTAGAACTCCAGCACTGAGAATCACTGCAGTCCTGAACAGACGGCTGCACCTCAGATGCCATCCTTGGCAACAAGCTTGTTGGTATTCTTTCTTTCTTTCTAAGTATTTGGTACAAGGTTTCACTATGCAGCTCAGACTACTAGTGATCCTCTTGTTTTCAGCCTCCTCTGGGCTGAGATTATAGGCATGTGCCACTATGCCTAGTCTTGGTGGCCCGCTCATTGTGCCTGGGGATAAAGCCAGCCTGGCATGTGGTGCCAGGGATCAAACCTTGGTCCCTGTGCTTGCCTAACTAAGCAGGCACTTAGTTTAGTAAAAAAATACACTGCTTCTTTGGGGTTTTTTTGAGTCCTTTTTT